TCCAATTCGTAGATTACCGTAGTCGATCCTTCATACTGAAGTATGATTTTTTTATAATCATTTTAAAGTTGGCAAATATGGTGGAGTCCGCAGTTTGTGTTTAAATGTTGCCAAATTGTATGTAAGTGTGTTTGTGTTACGGTCGCGAGGTTCTTATGAGATAAACTTTTATTAAATGCTCTTGTTTTATAGAGATACTCATTTTTATTTGGCTTTTGTTCCGTGAGCTTTTGTTCAGAGGATAATGCTGTTTCATTTTTCATGTTCTTTAATTGGCTTTTATTTCTTTAATAGACTATTGCCGTCTACAAATCAAATGTTAAATCTTTAAAAATGAGTAGAAATTACAGTTACTGTAAATACTTGTACACTAAATAGTATTATTTAATAAAATTCTATTACCAATTAGTCTTAAAATCTATGAAAAGTTCTGGTTCCCGATAATTACCGATGTAGTCATAAATATTATGTTAACGACTTTCTACATCAGTCAGTTTGTATTAGAATCGCAATAAATCATACGGCAATTAAAGACAGTTCAATTATCTGGTAGGTACACATATGGAGACGACTATAATATGATCGGAACCAGTTTTTAAGAATGAAAACAAATTATCATAGAACTGTAACGGAGTTAGCAATCAAACATAGTTTACTAAACATCTATATGTGATGATTAAAAGTTTTTGCAAGTGTTTCTTACTATTAGGTAGGTACAAGATTTTTTCCTTTTGGGTGAATTCGAAATAAACTTTGCCTATTTTCCCTTCCTTAACCTGTTACCCTAAGATACCTGGTATTGTATCAAGTACCTAGAGGTTCCGCATTGCACAGTTACACAATGAATGCGTATCAAAACATCGATGATTTTTTCGATTTTGAACTGCATTGAGAAATTGATACAATAGTGTAATTGAATATAGTTAATAATCATGTTTTTTTATATTCAATCAATTTATGGTCAGTTTTAATAAAAATAACATCACGCCTTTTATCCCCGAAAGTATAGTAAGTGGTGCACATTATGGTACTTGATGACACAATAACATCCACTGTCCACTATTTATGTTAAAAGTCCCGTGTAATAGGGGTGAGCCTATTGCCTACCCATGTATACCGGGCATGATTCCAGACCCTGTGCTACTACTGAGATTTTTTAAAAACTCAGTAATACTTATCCCGACCCGAGACTCCTTGCCCAGCAGTCGAACTTGCGACCACTCGGCCAACGAGGCAGGTTAATTAATAGATTTAAAATCTAATCAGAAAGTGAGAAAAACTTGATTAGTACATTTACAATGATACTAATATAAAAGAACGGTTTATGAACGAATACATTTCGTAACAGTAAACGTTTCATATTCAACACATTCATTCATCCAAACGCTGTGAGGAAATGACACTTTATTACTAAAGCGTTTATACCAAACTTCCTACTGATTAACATAAAATCTAATTAAAGAAATATATTAACTAATTGATGACATAAAAATTAACCTTAATCTAAATTGTACATTAGTAACGGTGCTGTAAATATTGTCCGTCATAAATATCGGACCAATTTATATTTCAACTCCATAAATACCTTTTATTATACTTAGTTCAATGTATTTTCATCTTTAACTGTTAGGGTTTAAAGTTTAGTTTCGGTTGTGGGGATGTAGTGCGAGGTGTGTAATAGGCATATGATAAAAGGCCGACAAAGCAAAGGTGTCGGCTAATTGATGCGGTGAGAAGGAAACCGGGGCGAGGCGGGAACACGCGGTCACACTCACAGCGGGGAGCGGGAGCGAGGAGCGGACTGGCATTGCGAGGCATAGGACGCAAGAATAGGGATGATGGGTATGAAAATTAAAAAAGTAATTAGTCCGTCAGTTAGGTTATGAAAAAATATTAGACACATATTTTTTTATTTTGTTGTATAATAAAATGATACTTAGATATAACGAACCAAAATTTAGGAGTGGGGTCTAAAACGTCATTTCTACGTATCAAATGTACTTAAAAGTGACGTCACGCGATATTTCAAATCAATATATCTTCGAAACTGTTCGATTCCGTAAAAAAAATAAAAATAAGTGTGTAATGTTTTTAAATAAACTACCAAACGGACATTAAAATAAAAATTAGTCATCTACCCCATTAGAAGCACTTGTTATGATCGTCGTTTACTGGTACCTAGATTATCTAAATGTCTCGTTATCTAAGTTCCGTAGGAGTTTGGCCACTATGCCATCTGGTCGTACGTAAACATATTTTTATTACAACTCGATAGTTATTCATAGTTATACTCGCTATTTAATGTGGGCACAGTTTGAATTGAAATGATGATTAAATAAATTAAAACCTTCAAGTTCTAATTAAAGATTTTTAGATCAATCTGAAGGTACAGATAACATATTTGAAGACTGTACGGTCCACCCGTACAATTATTGGAATATTGTAGAATAAGTACTTTTGTACCGCGAGCGCACTTTACTTCAGTTCGCGTTCGATTCTCGCCGCGGTTACTCATTTGTATCATGTAACTATCATTAAAGTTATATTATCACTATATCATCGTATCATTTGTAGTTGTCCCGTACAAAGACAAAACTTTAGATATATTTTTAAGTATCTCGCTGTCACTGGGACCCTATCCTCAATTCCTGTATTGTATGACATCCGGTGTGGACAATACCGCGGGCCACCATTGTATGCTCACAGGCTGGTCCACTGCCCACTGCCCAGCATCACTTGTGGGCCAACACACGGAGATATTAATCTCATTGTGACGGTTAAACTTTATAACTCGCTGTTTTTATTTATATCAAGGACCAGACGTGTTTGGATACAAGCGATTAGTGGTATTCATGAATTCAAAAAATGTTCTTCAGAAGACTGACGTACATTTTTTGGACTGGTTATTGTAATTGCGGGGATATTAAATAATTTGAAAAAATATACATGTATACCTAATGCATGCTACACCTATGTACCGCAATGTTGATATCATATTGCTACCTAATTATTAATACGTGCTTATGTAATATTAGATTAGATGCACGATGAATTAAATCAGTTTTGAATTTGTATCTAATCAAAAAATATATTTTCATATTTGATGGGCCGACGTTTAACCCCTATCTTGCCTGGTGGTAAGCGATGCTGCGGTCTACGATGGAACTTATTAAATGTAAATATTATTATTATTAGATGTAAAGTATTAACTACAAAGCATATTTAATTTACGTTTTTGTGTGGGAAGTAAAATAATTGTGTTTATAGTGTGCATATACCAACATACATTCCTGGTCAATTTCGAAATAATTTCCCATGCACTCAATAATTTTAAATGGCCCCACCCCGAGTGACCAAATACCTGTCATTTCGAAACAAAATAATTTGTATTGCTTACAGAGTCAAAAATTGAGAATTTTTAGTCACACAATTCAGCACTATTATGGCAAACCTCTTTTTTGTTGGCGGTACATATACGAAAAATTAGTCAAACAAAATTACATAAATTACATACGTTATCTGTATACCTATAGTATACAGTGTAAAATATGCGGTTAAAAATAAACGTTTTCAATGTGTTAACTACTAATGAAATATTTAAAATTTCAAATACATTAGAAAAATATCCCCCAAAAAGTTATATTGCTAACTGAACGAAAACCGATTAGAAATAATAGGACTAAAAAAATACCAACCCACATCCTGTGAGCTGCGCCAGCGCATCCTGCGCAGGCGAATCCGATTACATAATACCTACTAGTTTAAAAACCGTTTATTGTTCCGCCATCTTTATTGGGCACCCTCATTATTGAGGGATTTAAAAAACGAATTATAAAAGTAGAAGTGTGGCTTTGTGATGTGTTTTTGATTGTGTGTGAGTGTGTGTGTGTGTGTGTCATTGTTGTGTGATATGATCGGTTATTTTAAACGTAATTGTAGATAATTGCATTATTTAGGGGAAACTTTTTATGGTTTTTCGATTGTTGCTGAAATTGGCTTAAGTTTGTAAAGAATTAAATAAATATACAACTATTGGTAAATAAAAAAAACTTTTACTTTTACTTTTATTCTGAAAATAGCATTAAGTAGGTATAGGTTTGTTAAAATATCTTTCCATTGGTCATTTAGATTTTTTAGACAACCAACAAGATGTTCGACTTTTGAACTTAATATATTTTATTTATTATTTTGAATATTGTTAAAACTAATAAGTAACTGTTTCACATAATATTTGCTTGCAGAATTTAATAGCAATTACGACCAAAACTGCAAAAAATCTGTCTTGTCAGTAATTTCTCACAACTCTATTGAAAAAGCAATCTCGAGTGTATAATAACCGAGGCGACAAGCAATTAATCAAGTCGAATATATATCTGCAGAACTATACGACTTGTACCACTCGCACTGCTGTCCCTCAGCAGATGTCTCTAATTCTATGGGTGTTTTATTTCTTAACAAATCGAGTGCCGTGTCAATTAATATAATATTTGTCACATAAATAACCGGAGATCCTTCCGCTATTATCCGAACGCATAAACTCTGCCATTCCAGCTTATTATTCGTGGCACAATAGTTTTTAGCGGGCGCGGGGCGCGCGGCGCGGGCGGCAGGGGAGGGGGGGCGGCCCGCAAAAACTGCACCCGACTTAATTATAAAGAGACAAGAAGCGCCATTAAATAGCGATTCGTTAAATCTACGCTCTCGTGTTAACACCACACGTGCTCTGTCCCGCTCGGTCGTATAGCGATCAGAGCGGGACGCACGTAGGTTTGGGGCGACAGCTCGGTTTAGGGGCGGCGTCCGCGATATAAGGTTTAGATTGACTGGGCGGCGTTCTCTATTCACGTTTTTTTCTGTTTGCGAGCAAAAGCGTCGGTGAGAGCTTTTCATTTGGTGTCGGGTCGCGCGAGCGGGCGCACGCATTGCTCTGTGGAGTGCAATGACCGAGTGACGTCCATCGGACTTGTGTGTATATTGTATATGCAGTGAACTGTACCGAGATGTCGGAGTTGCGTGGCTCGCCGCCCTTGTCCCGTGGGCTCGAGAACGGTTTCGGGGCTCCGCTGGCGGCGCTGAGCTCGCTGGCGGAGGCGCCTCCTCCGGCGCCGAACCCTCACGGCATCGACCACATCCTGTCTCGTCCGACGGTGGGCAGCAACGTGGGCGCCGGGCTACTCGCGCCGCGGTTGTCGCTGGCGGCGGCGGCGGCCGGCATGGCGCACTACCTGCAGCACAAGCCGCTGTACTGGCCTGGCTTCCAGGGCCTCGTCTCCAACCCCATGGCGTGGCGAGAGCGCCTGCAGTCCAGTGAGTAACAACACATACTTTGTTTCTTACATCTTAAGAGTCGGATCTAGTTGGAAACCGTCTTACCTGCTTCTCAAATATCTACATCATTTGTTAGGCAGGTACCTAAACTTATATGACTGTCATGAGTATTGGCTGAATGTCTTTCAATGATTTTGAAGACAAGAGATTTTGGAAGTCACTACAATATCGCTGAAATATTTATCGATTACAACAATGATCTACAGGTGGAACACAGAAATTTTAAACCACGGACATATAATATGATTTGATAAAACTATACCAGCATAATAATAAATGTGTGTATGTATATTCAAATACATCATCAATATACATGAAGTTAACAAAAAAAAGTTAAATACTGAACATTATTGGATGGTTCATTAAAGTGTTTTTATTGAATTTGTACACAAATAACGAATGAAGTCAGTAGTCGTATAAAAGACATCAACGCGTCGCGCTTCATTACGATATAATGACTGCTGCTAATGACGGACGAATTAGTTTTTTAAATTAATTATCTTACATTTTAATAAGTACTGGTGAATAAATTATAAACGAGTTAGTAAGGTTTTATTTAAATATCGCCGGCAATAAATGTGTGTGCTACAACACGACGGGTATCATTATATAGAAAAAACGTGTCCTTTTAGATAGACGAGACCGTCAATAAAATCTAATACAATGTAATAATTTTATTTGAACATTAGTAATTAATTGGTGCCGTTGTATTATTATTGTATTTAATTTTAATATGAATTAGGTGTCATTTAAATGGAACAAATAATATTTTTACAAAATAGCAGTACAATGGTAGAACAGAATCTTATAACATTATCGTAAGCAATAAATATGTTAATTCCTAACAACTTTACACTATATTTTTAACAATATTATAATATCTGACATTATACCAACTCATAATAAACCCAAAACCATAGAAACCAAATCTTAGCTCGTAACAATATCAATACAAGCCACAACACAACCGGAAGGACGTCACGAAGGCTCCGTTAGTTCCGAGTTCCGGTGGCCGTCGGCCTTGTACCGTCGGCCCTCGGCGGACGTTTATAGCCCTAGGGCCGTTTGTGGCCGTTTGTAGCCGTTCCTCCGACATTAAGGCTTTGTACACGTACGCCTCAACAGCGCCTGAAATAATTCACTCCCTCGTTACTGAAGATTGAGGCGAAGGGAGGCTTTTGATTTTTGATACGAGCGTATAAAATGTAGATTTGAAGATTTTGGAGTTATTTTATTAGCTTCTATATTGAGTACCTATTGTGTTTATTGTTTAACTTTGGTTTTATGTGGACCTTAATTTAAATTACAATTACCTATGTATATACTTCAATTGAAATTCCAATATAGAATATTATAAAAAAATGGTAAGGGTAACAAATCTTCTCAGTGAATAGATTAATAGGGTAGACGACTAATTTTTATTTTAATGTCCGTCTGGTAGATTATTTAAAAACATTAGACACGTATTTTTTCTTTTGTCACAGAAACGAATAGTTTCGAAGATATATTGATTTGAAATGTCGCGTGACGTCACTTCTCAGTACATTTTATACTAAGAAATGACGTTTTAGCCCCCACTCCTAAACTTTGATTCGTTTTATCTAAGTATTGTTTTATTATACGACAAAATAAAAAAATACGTGTCTAATATTTTTTCATTACCTAACTTACGGACTAATTATATTTTTAATTTTCATACCCTGTCATCATCCCCCACTTATTAATCGATTGTAACAGACTATTAATAAAGAATAGCAAGTTATTTGTTTGTTTGTGTATCTACTTATCCAATCTCCATGTTTTACATGCATAAGTATAGTTCTAGCGGAAAAGTCGCGGGTGTAAAAAAATTTTATATAGAAATACTATTTTTCACATGCATTCACATTCGAAAATGTCGGGTTTTCCCATTACTGATTTCTGTATTAACTGAATAAGTCAAGAGAAATGGTAATTATGTAGATTTGGCAAAGAGTTGAGAAGTGTATTACTGTATATTATGAAGAAAACTATTTTTATGTTAACTGTATAATTATATTTATTTTCAGTACTTATTTACTTGATATTATGTATAAAAATAACGTAATAAATAAATATGTAGAATTTAAAATAAACTACACAAAACTAATGGAGACATTTAAATAAAAGAACACTAAAAATGACTATTTATAGAGAGCTTAATTTTATATAACCATTGTTAAATAAAATTGAGGATGAAACTATCGACTATGTCTTTGTATAAACATATACAAGACGATAGATAACGATAGAGCTTATACTAAAATTGCATGATTTAATAACGTGTTTTTATAATAACCATCGTGAGACATACTAAATTAACTAAAATCGTGGGTTACTCACGCGACGTCGCCGCGACCGCGCACACTGCTCATGAGGAAGAACCCCTCTGTGGTTCGAAACTAGTAGAGCTTTTCTCAGTATATTCACGTGAGTAACCCGCGATTTTTAGTTAATTTTAATAACGTCATGGTTGCGATCAGAAATAAAATTTATCTTTTAGAAAATAGATCACTAAGTTATAAGTGAGAATAAACCGCACTAATAAAATTATCCTGCGGTCCTTATTGATATAAATTATTAAAAATTAATGAATTGAAACACCTAATAAGATAATAAATTCGATATATATTACAAGAAGGTTTGGAATGTATCGATCGAAAGATTGTAACAAACATATCGACAGCAATTTGTTCTTCGGTATTAATAAATGCGTATGCGCAGCGAACCGATTGATTTTTACACGACATAATGCTCAATGATCGCAGTATATTGAATGTTATTCAGTAAACGACTTGATAAGGGCTCTTGTAAGCCGGTTATGTATTGCATATTTTGTTTTATTGGAATGTCATTTTTGCGTTTTTATTTATTAGACAAGTAAAGGGCAAAAGTACAACGTGTATCTTTGTTAATCTTGTAAATTGTTTTAGGGACATGGTTTTATTGATTTACTTGGTTTACGGACTGTAGGAGGGTTATTGTTTTTAATATCCACCAATGCATATATATATTATGATAGATTAGTTGATGGATTGAAAACATATATTTTAATAGCAGTAGGTATAGTTTATGGAATGATAAATATTATTTTTTATTATTTATTTACCCCTTACGGTTTTTATCCACGTGGATATGTCAACCGCATTTCACCTTATACTCTATTTTCACAAAATTATTAAACGCCTTATTGTTATCATTTTATAAAAAAATACTTATGCCTATACGAAGGGGAATTACTGCCTAGAACTTTTAATTACAATGATAAATATATCTTTCTAATTGCCTACTGGAATTTCCATCTATTAATATAGACCTATATATATATCTGAATATTTTTTATGAAATAAAATGCCACCAAATTATATTATGGCTTTGTCACATAAACCAGATTTAATCGTCGGCGAATTTCCTTCATCTATCGACTCTAATTTGGGATTATCTAACTAAATCGTCATTTTAAAGTCTTACGTAAATGAAATCGCAGGAAATATGACAATTTGTCAAATAAATGTGATTGTAAAAGAGATCAGTTTCAAAGGCAGGAGTTTGTGAGTTATTGTTAGTGTGTGGGTGTGACGTTATGTCGGTAACCATCAATGAACTGACGACTGGTTTAGGAAGATATCTTGTCATTCAGTTTCGTATCAATATAATGTGCCGATCGAGTAATTTGTAGCTTGTCGTCGTTTTAGAGGCTGTAGAATTTATTTTATTAAAATTTACCTTTTTTACCGTTTTTCTGGAAATATATCATAGAATATTGTAAGTAAATTAATAGTTAAATATTACAGCTGCAAAATATTAAATTATGTAACAAAAACAGAAGTCGAAATAATTTAACATTTAGTACGAACCCCACACACATATCAAATCATAAATATTAGTGGCCACTGCTGACCAAAGGCATCTCATATGGAGAAGGTGTGAGCATTAATCACCACGCTTGTTCAATGCGGATTGGCTGGTTGTTTATAAGAAACATTTATAAAGAAAGTAGGCGAAACTAACCCACGAACTAAACTTGCTTCTTCATTCTTCTATTGGCTACATCTATCACACCCACAATGGAGCATAACCAAACCAGAAGCAAGCTGTTGAGCATGTTCAAGTAATATCATAAAATAAAACAGCGTCGCGTCGCTACACGAGTACACGTCACTATCACGCCTCCTTAATAAGAGGAACAACTGTTCTTACACGAAACAAGCTGTTTCATTAACAGTGATAAATATCTGTATTCGGAACCGAATGTATCGGATTTCCGATACAAAATATGTAGAACCGGATCGGGTATGAATGTTTCGGATTTGGAAGGAGTCTAGAGTGGACTTGTTTTAATTGCCTTTTGATTAATATTTTCTTTGTATTTAATAAATTTGAAATCGGTAACTGGAAGTACCCGAAACTGATATTTTCATTCACGCTTTACGCTGTAGGAACTTTTTTTCATCAATGCGGATCATTTTTTGATGCATTTATTTATTATTTAGTTCTGTATACTTAAATGTAAATAAATAGACAATTCTTGTTTGAAGTTATATAATTTTTTTTTGGTTATCCGTATCCAGATTTGAAATGTTATATCCATAATATAATTTGTTAATTAATTGTTATAAGTTGTGCGATTGATCCTTGTATCGCCGGCAATCGATACTGTTGTGTTGAGTCCGAGTATACGATGATACGCCATAATCTCCACACTCGAGATAACCGCGTGTCGGTCGTTTGCAACAATTTTGTAATGATAACTTGTTAAATGAGAATATTTATACTTTATGGATTGTTTTATGTGTTAGGGAATTTACGGATTATTTTATAGATTTTGAAATTAGAACGATTTTTGTTTTTCTTTAAAAGCGAACTCAATTGCTTGTGTTAACGAGTTGTTCATAAACATATGCGTCATAATTAGTTTATTTGATAACTGATTGTTTGTTTTTCCCTTAAATTTTGAATCA